GCTCTTCCAACCTCCAGGTAGCCTTCTGAGCTTCTAAAGAATGGAGGAGGAGGTTGGATATTGGTTTCTCATCCTCTCCTGACTGCTGGAAGACTGCAGGAGCACATGAAAGCCTCTCCAGGCAAAGAGGGCTCTTCTCTCCACTCTTCCCAGGCTTGGAGTCCCACTGGGCGTTCAAGAGTCCCTCACCAAGCTGACGCCACTCCAGTGGGAGAAGGAGTTAGAAACCAGGTAGAAGCCGGGCTCGGTGGCTCAGACTGTAATCCCGTGCCTTTGGGAGGTTGAGGTGAGTGGATTGCCTGAGCCCATTGGTTCAAGACCCGCCTGGGCAGCGAGACCTCATCTCTACAATAAATCAAAAAATCAGCCGGGCATGGTAGCGTGTGCCTGTAATTCCGGCTACTCGGAAGGCTGAGGCGGAAGGATCGCCGGAGCCCAGCAGGTCGAGGCTGCGGTGGCCAGGAGCAGCCACTGCACTCCAGTCTGGGCAACAGGGTGAGACTCCAACTCAAAAAAGAAAAGAAAAGAAAAGAAACCAGGTAGAGAGGAAAGCCAGAGAAGGGCCACTCTCCCATCCCCAACCCCAATTCTTTTGTGTTACATGGTTGGGTTTTTGTGCCACTTTATCTGGCAGGGGACCCAAACCCCAATTATGAAATCCACTCTGACCCACTTTTGGGTTCTTCTCACACACCCACACTTGTCCACAAACACCAGCGCGGCTCATCCCCACGCCTACATCAGTGTAGGTGGGGGGGGGAGGGAGGGAGGAGGGGTGGTAATAGGGGAGCCCATTTGTGGCTGATACTTGCTACTTGGTGTTCATAAAAACATGAGAATCATAGGTAGCCAGCAGGTAATACTATCCTTGGACCAAACCCCAGGATCACGATGAAGTTCCTGGCACACAGAAGGTGCTCAGATTTGCAGTGAGTGAGGGAATGAGGAACACACAGTAATGTCTTTCTCAAGGAGACAGGCACGGTGAGGGTTAGCCCCAGAAATGCTGATCCATCTGGCGGCTTTCCTATGGGGAAGGAGAGCATCCTCTGAAACGGATGCCCTCCAGCCCTCCGACAAGGTAACTTCGTGTGTGTGCACCGGCGTCAGCCTCCCAGTCGGAAGCCGATGCTCAGAGGGGTCATGTGATGCACCCAGCATCCTGTGGCCAGTCAGTAGCAGAGCCTGAGCCTGAACCAGGCCAGCACTGTCCCAGCATACTGCGCCCCTGCCCCTCCTGGTGGACAGTTGCCCCTGAAGGGTTGTTAGACTCAAGTGGGGAGCAGGCGTGTGGCAGGCTACCAGACACTGGACGCTTTGGTCCCCCTTTCTAGGAGGTGCCCCTCCTGCCCAGGACATCCTGGGAAGCTCAGAGGACACAAGCCAGAGTAGATTTTGTTCTTCAGAATAGACCCCTCTCTCCCACTTTCACTAAGAATTAGGCCTAGAAGTCCCTGAAAAACAAAACTGAATCCAAATCCCAGCTCTGCCACTTACTAGCTGTTTGACCCTTGGGCAAGTTACTTAACTTCTCTGTGCCTCAGTGTCTTCAATCATAAGATGGTAGGCTTTTAAGTATCAACAACTCTCTCACAGGTGGTCAGAGGCATAGGGGACAATGCATATACAGTGCTCACAGCAATCAGTGACTCGACACATAGTAACTGTGTGCCTCCTGGGTGCTAAGTCCAGTGCACCACACTCATAAAGAGAATTAAAGTGTAATGGAAATGGAGTACAAAGTAGAGAAGAGCCAAGACGAAAGTCAGTTCCTCCCAGCCAGGCTCTTTGGAGCCTGCCCCGAAGAATGCTGTGTAATGGGCCTGTCTCTTTTCAAGGGTCCATCTCTACAGGACGCTGGATGCTTTGTTCCAAAGACCTGTGGTAAAATCCCACCCAGTTCTACAGCGAGGGAATTTGGAGATGGGAGCCTTGGGGAGCAAGGCTCTGAAAAGCCCAGGGCTGCCCAGGGCAGGGCACAGCTAGATCTGGGGGCCAGGGTGCCAGGCTGAGGCCACAACCTTCCCATCTTCTCTGACATGAATTCCCTCCTCCCTGGCAACAAGGCACTGGGCATTAGAAGAGATCTACCCCGGCACAGGATGTGAGAGCCCCGTGCCCACTGGAAGGGAGGATTACTCAGCTGGTAAATCCTGCCTTCCCTGTAATCCTGGTGCTCAGAGAAAGAATGCTAAGCTGAACTCCCTCCTAACCAACTCTGACCAATGCCAAAATGGAGCACCTCTCAAGTTTTCCTCCTCTTCTTCATTCTCCTGACTCCTTTGGCCTGCTTCAACCTCTCCGCTCAGTTCTGTCTCCATCATTTGAAGGAGACGCTTCCCCCTCAGTCCTATTCCTGAAGAATATCCCACCTCTCCTGCTCACCTCCCTTCTCCCAGGGCCCACTGGGGGCCTTGTGCCATTTTGTGATTGATTATGAACAAGGTCCTGGCTCACCCTGGCAACCCCTCGGGGGCTCAGAAGAAATCCCCATCTCTCCAAGGCATATTTTCAAAAGAGCTGGCCTTAGGGAAATGTATATAAAACCCACTGCTCCTGTGCCCAGTTGGAGAGCTTTCAGTCCGGCAGGTGGGAAGCAGGGCCTCTACTGGCAGAAGAGGGGTCAGAGGTGTCTAGGGCTGGTAGGGTCCTTGTGTACAGTCTGTGCCCTGCACACCTCCAGGGGGTGCCATTCACAT